CCTCCAGCCAGGCCTAGGCTGAGCCGGGAACCGCTCCAGCCGCGGCGGTTGGGTTGGGTCCCTTCGCCTCCCCCGGCGCCCTGCTCGGGGCAGAGTTCCTTCTGCCCGGGGATTGCAGCCCTCCGCCCCCGTGGAGAGCTGTGCAAGGTGGGGCGGGGTGCGAGGACGTGGGCTGCGTTGCTGTCGGGGCAGATTCCGAATTAAGTGGATTCTGAAATTGGTAGCCTCGTGGCTCTCTACGGTCTGGGCTTTCTCGAAGTACCCCCACCCCTTTCCCCGAGTTAACCAGATAGGCTTCCAGATGTTTGCCCACCGCTTTTGCATGCCTTACCAAGAGAGAGATCCGATGGCGTTCAGGTAGGCTAATTGGTAGGCTACGCTGTGTGAAGTCACAGATTTAGGCTGGGTCAAAATGTTGCTTGTCTCTCTGAGGCATAGTGTTGGGTAAACCCAACCTTTGTGGCTTGTAGAGGGTTGTTTACAGTTTAATGTGTTTGTGAGCTCGGCCAGTTGTGTTTGATTCAATAAGTTATAGTTAAGCAAAATGAGTTGTTGATAACATAACATGCTGTGTGAATGAATCCTTAATCTCTAGATGTTTATTCCAGTTTCCCCAATGTTCCTTTTTTGCCAAGGAAATCGGATGGATCCCCATACAGTATCCATGTAGCTATGTAGAAATGTGGAACTGCCACTTGTCTTCATTTTATAAATATAATTGCTATCGTGTACTCATGATAGAATTTCCAGCTCTTATAATTTCATAATGGGAGTATGAAATTCAGGCTTTTAAGACTTAAGGTGTTGAACTAGGATTACCCTCAGCTACAGAAGCACACAGAGTGTTTTGCACCTAGTCACTCTCAGCCCAACCTACCTCATAGGGTTGTTGTTGGGAAGAATTGGAGGAAAGAATGCTACAAATGCTGCCTTGGCCTCCTGGTGAGCTTTAAATCTAACAAATAAGCAAACATTTCACAGTATGATAGAGTTCAAATAGAAGAAATAAAATTATGGGGAAAGCAAGGCTGAAGTTTTTTTTTAGCAGCAAAACCCAAATCAAACAGAAGTCTTGGTGTCTTAAGACGACACATTTTCTGCTATAATTCAGTTCTTGTTGTATTTATTGTTCCATAACTGGAAAGGAGAACTGGTCTGTGTTGGAATGTTCATCTCTCATTTTTGACTCGTGTTCTTTCCTCCCCCCCCCCAAAAGAGACTAACAATCTTGGCCCCCAGAGAATTCCCAGCCGACTGTGGGAGATGGAGAGCACCAAGTTGGGAGAAAGCTGGGTTGCAGCAACTGGGTTCATGCTATACCATGATTGGTTGATCAAGCCAAGACTGGCTCACTTTACATGTTGCACTAAGCTTTAAGCCCTGTTTTGCAAACTACAGTGGCTGAGTTCACAGAGCAGATTAAGCCCCAAATCAGTGAAGCATGTCACGGCTGATCATAGTGGGTGAACATAGCTACTATTGTCTACTTAGGGTGCCACACAGTTCTTTGAAATGGCAGGGATTCAGGTGATCATAGGTTCAAAACATTTCAAGAAGGCTGTGCTGGCCTGTTAACCAAGAGCATCCTTTTCCTGTAGCGTGTTCGAGGAAGGGTCCTGGGTACATTCCAGTAAAGCTCATGTGGGATGGGAAATGAACAACGGCCCCTGTTTAGGTCTACCACATCTGCCCTGCAAGATTCTGGGTGACCTCAAAATGGGAGCATCTTTTTGCTTTCTTTGGTTATTTGGATTTTTGGCTGGCCAGATCTGGCAGTCCTAACCATGCAGAGGATGTCCCACTCTTGCTGAAGAACCCTAAGGCCCACACACCTTTTTCTATCAAAATGCAAGGGATGAAAAAGAATAGTATTGACATATTATTTGGATTATGTGAACAGTCTATCTGATTTACAGTTGTGTTCCTTTTATAAGGACATCCCTTTCTCTTTTTATATCTTTATAGTGGTGTTTCTCAACCTTGGCAACTTGAAGATGTGTGGACTCTAAGTCCCAGAATTCCCCAGCCAGCCATGCTGGCTGGGGAATTCTGGGACTTGCAGTCCACACATCTTCAAGTTGCCAAGGTTGAGAAAAACTGCTTTATAGTAATAAATTGTGTGGCCACTTCATCCCTGTTGATCCTGATTAAAGAGGAGAGGGTTTGGCACAAACAGTGGGTGCATTTTATGACGGGATAGAGTGCCACGCAAGCCGTAATTTGTTCCGCTTAACCCGGGGGAGACACCAGAGCTTCTCTTCTTGATTAATTGATGGGTGTTCTCCTAGTTGAGCAATACCAACAAAGCATCAGGGCCAGTATGTCACACACTTGAGAAGCATTTTGTGAAGGTGTGGGCCAACAATTCCATTAAGGACACTTCCCCTTGTACTGACTTTCACCAGCTATTTTCACTCCTCAACAGCTGCACTGCCCCATGACTGGAGAACTGTTCTAAATGCAACCAAGATTGGCAAACCGACTTCCAGGTTTAGAATCTGGACTCAAGTCTTTGGGGGTCGGGTGGTGTACAAATTTAATTTTAATAAGAATAACAGGAGCAACAGCTTTCTGTGGCCTTTCCTCAAACAACTCCCTTCTTGGGGATTCTTTAAATAGGCCCTCGGTCCTTCAGGGGAACTATTAATAGTTGATATTTGCTTTCTATTCTCTTGGCTTCCCATTTTCTCTGAAAAAGCCCATGCAGTTGAGAACTGCTATGAAAAACCTAATCTTGGTTCCCTGCTTAAAACATTGCCTGGCTGGGCTCACCCAGTGCTCTAAGCCAGAGGTAGTTTGTTCGGCTTGGCTTACAGCTGTGTCTGGTTTTGGCCACTGCAGTTTGTGAACCATGGGCTGTAGCTTAGCTTTCACCCAGCCAATTACAATCTAACAAAAGGAAACAAATTAGCATGATGTGTGAACGAAGCCACTTGGATACAGAAGGACATTGATGTAGTCTAGAAAGAGATTATCACATAATTACACATGCACGTATTTTTGAAGGACTGTAAGTTAGGACTTGCTGGTGAATCTCCAGCTGTAGAGGGGAGCTGATGAGGGACCCTTTTAAATTACCACACTCCCATTGCACTGGGGGTAATTAGTGGTTTCCATTTCCCACAGACAACCACTAGATGACAGGAAAGAGCTGGAATTTTCTGTATCTCTTTGCTGCCATCTTGTGGTCATCTGGACTTCTGTAGGACAGATTTGAGAGCTCTCTAAAAATTAGATTTTGGAGGCTCTGGTCAGTAGGGTGGCAGCCATATGTGTGAGATCGATCAGCTGACTTGGTTGTCCCTGAGTTGCTCCTGAAATGGAGCTGAGGTGTTTCTCTCTCTCTGGCCAGTGGACCTATAGGAGCAGTTAATCACAGTGACACTTTTCCAGACTGGTTGGTTGGTTTACAA